TTTTTTTTTTTTAAAAAAAAAAGACTCATAAAACATATCAAAGCTCACCTTAACTTGCTCTGCTCTATATGTGTAGTCAGTCAATTCTCTAAGAAGCCCAGAATTCTTTTTGGTAGGGAATGGTATTTAGGAACAAGTAGAGGCTTGGTCTATATACTACATATAATGTAAAAAGAAATAAAGAATTTATGTTTAATCTCTCAAGTGAAACCCAACATGTGCAGGGATTTTTCCTTCACTGTATCTCATTTCATACCCTTTCCCCCTCCTACCCTCTCATTTCATACTTAAAATCTCCCTTTTTTATTCAGTGATGATGTTTGGGATCAAAGTTCCAACAGAGGTTCACGTTCAAAAGTTACCTGAATTATTTTTGTGTATGTGGTTACGTGATCACTACTAACACACAGGAAAGTTTTTGTTTGTATGTATGTAATTCAGTTTCTCCCCTTTCCTGTTAATTTTGTTAAGTAAAATAACTGCATGGTTCAAATGCCAAAGTCATATTAAAAAATAAACACAGAGAAGTCTTAAGCTGCACATTTCCTGGCGGAACAAACAAAACTGCTCAATAACCAGGCGTGTTCTCTTACACACACGCATGTGCACACCCACAGTCACCAATTCATCTATTTTTGGAAAAGACACAGGTGACACTTTTCCTAGATGCAAGTCCCTGAAGTAAAAGAGCTAAGTGCAATTTGTCAACATTTTAGCATAAGAAACATCAAGAGGTTCTTCTTCTTTTTTTTTTTAGAAACATCAAGAGGTATTGACATCCACACTTTAATGTATGAGAACAAGAATGCCTAAAAAAATGTAAACAAAATATTATAGTACACTAACTTATAGTGTCGTGTTGAGGCTTTTCACAGAGCTTCAAAAACGCTTGGTTGAAGAAAACTGGCTTTTTTATGTACTCTGGTCTATTTTTAAAAATTTTTTTTTTGTATTCTGGTCTTACACCAGGCGAGGAGCCTGGGGCCTGATCATTGTATCTGAGAACACGGCCAGTCCTGAAGGGTGGCCTGTGAAAGAGTTTACCTGGAGACAATCCCATTTTCTGCAAGAATGAAGGCTGCGGCAGGATTGGCGGCCCTGATGAGGTTCTGCAGCTGAACAAGGAGAGGATGCCTGTGCTCCGAGGTGTGACTGGTAAACACCACATTATTCACCAACCCTAGGGAGTAAGGCAAGAACAGGTTAGCCTCCGGAGCTCTCGCTGGGGCTCAGATGGATCTAAGCACCTGCTCTCTCCCCTAAACATCCAGTCTTCCTGGATGTTCCTCCCAGGAGACTCCTTGTATAAACACCTCTACCTACAACGCTGATACGCACAAACATTAATCTGACCCCCATCCACTTCCTAAACAACATGCCTCTGGAAACTCTATGAATTTTGAGAAACAATAATTACGGAAAGGCTTCAGGTCTTTTGTTCATAGGGTTGCCATGAGCCATGCTCTACTCAATGGCAATCAACAACAACTGCTACGTTTTGGAAAGAATAGTTTCAACTCTGCAGCTGGCTACCTCTTGACATCCTCTATTTTTTTTCATTCTGCTTTTTGGCTGATACTCAGAGCCTCTTCATCAAAAAGCTCTTTCACACACTCTGTACCTCACCAGCATCTGCTGTAACTGGCCTTCACTAATTTAGACACACTAACAGAACACTAATCATACGTCACGCTCTAACCACCATGTTTCCAATGGACACATTGCCACGAGAGAGTCTGTATGGATCCATAATTCCAAAATACGTGCTAACAGAGATGTTTACAAAAGAATGAGAAGCCAAGGTAAGAGTAGGTACGGAGCAGGTCACATTAAATTTATTCTAAATTATTTGTTATTGTTGTTGTGTACCTTTGAGATGGAACTGACCCATAGCTGACCCTACAGTGGTTTTTCAGAGACAGTAAATTGCATGGGAGGAGACTGTCCATCCTTCTCCCATAGAGCAGCTGGGTGATTTGAACCTCATGCCTCTGGGATTGCAGTGCAGTTTCTTACCACTAGGCCATCAGAGCCTGTAGTGTTGTGAATTATGCTTCTGTCCTGTTAAATTAGAGAAACAAAATTCACAATACTACAAATAATTAATAAATCAGGAAAACTATGACATCTGATCATCTCAACATAATTATTATAACACATCTATAACATCTTCACTTATTATCTCATTTAAATTGATACAACTTTGCAAAAATTCTTGTGCCATGTCTGACAGTCTGAGCCCCACTCAGGAAGGGTCTAATGCCCACCACAGGTCACCATAAACAATACACCACAGCCTCTTGTGAAAACTGGACCACATGTGAGATGGCAAGCGACACTTTTCATTCCACTGCAATGTCTTTGTCTAGTCAGGCAGATGTGAGATGAAGTCTTAGGCTGCCAAGGAGAGGTCAGATGAGGGCCTGAAGCTGCCATGCAGGTTGGTGGAAGGACACAGGTTGGTGGAGGGAGGCAGGTAGAAAGTGGGCTTGGAGGGAATGGGACAGGCGATTAGCTTGGAAGGGAGGAAACAGGAAGGGGCAGGGGCACAGTGCTAGACAGCAGGCAATATCCAACTACCACTATCCTCAATTTCTGCGGGCTCTGAAGTGGCAGGGAAGAGATATTCACCATACCATGAATATCCCAAGATTATTCCAGGATGCACCTACAAGCGGATGACCCCTGACAAGATGAATTTACACAGTGACTATTTACAAAGGGTCAAGTATTGGAGAAGACGAGGTTGGCTCAGGAAAGAGCAAGGTTCTGAGCTATTGTTCATAAGGTTGCTATGAATCGTATTCAATGCAATGGCACATGACATTGCCAATACACACTTTGGTATATCTGGGATATGAACAAATGTTCAGGATAAGTTGCAACAATAAATAGCCTTTTCTCATTAACTAGACCTTAATAACTTTTTTTGTCTTGTATTTTCCTGGCTTTTTATTTGTAAGTGTCTGTTATATCTCTGCTCATCCTTTTAATATTGCCTTTACTTAGCTTGAGATGCTGCTATTATATAGAGCATCATATGAATAGGTTTTGTTGTTTGGCTTTAACGTGAGATTCCTAATTGTGTTTAATCCCATTTCTATATACTGACATTTGGTTCTGTTGCTTTGTTTATGTTGGATTGCCAGACTCTGTTTTTAAAGTACATCTCCTCCCACCTTTGGCAATATGATCTAGGCATTCTTTATGTTTTCATTCTGATAACTGATAGGTTTACAATATTTTTCTAATATTGTTGTTGTTAGGTGTTGTCGAGTATGACTCATAGCAACCTGATGAGCAACAGATCTAAACCTTGTCCTATCCTGTGCCATCCAGTATCTTTATACCTTTTAAAATAAGGTATCTAAATAATTACTTATTGTAATGTCACCTTTAAATAATGTCAAGGAGTTCTGCTGGTAAGAAGTGATAAGAAGCTGCACTGCAATCCCAAAGGCATACGGTTCAAATCTACCAGCTGCTCCATGGGAGAAGGATGGGAAATCTCCTTCTGTGTGATTTACTGCCTCTGAAAACCTGCTGGGGTCACCTATGAATCAGTTTCCACTCAGTAGCAAACAACAACATATGGAAAAAGGGCAAGGTAATTATATTTTTCCCATGTCTCTACCATCTAATTCTGACTGGTCACACTCTGGTGGCCTAGTACACAAAAAGCTGCACTGCTATCCTGAAGGCACAAAGTTCAAGGCCACTAGCTCTTCTTCAGGAGAAGGATGGGCAATCTCCTCCTGTGCAATTAACTGCCTCTGCTTAATGAGCTATGGGTTGGTTCCAATTCTATGGTACATAACACTACCACCACCGACAACATTGGTTCCTATTTTATCTTTTAAAGAGTATAATTAATTTAACCCTTTGTAACATGATTTGGGGTGGCTGAGTGGTAAGGTGCTATGCTGCCAGCGCAAAGATTTGTGGTTTGAATCCACCAGCTGCTCTATAAATGTACGTGAGTAGATTTACAGCCTCTGAAAACTCACTTGGAGGGTCAGGTATAAGTTGGTTCCATTACAGTATATAACAGCAGCAACAACAACTTAACAGTTTTAAAATATTTAGAGATCTTGGTCTTAAGTTTCTGAGAGTTGCAGTAAGAAATGAGCACAAGCTGGGTGTTTGGTTGTTGTTTTTTTCCCCCTCATCACATCCTAGATTTATTACAACTGACCTGCAGGGAAAAGGAAAGACTATTACTTACACACTTTGATTCCATGTATATTTCTTAAATAGAGTAGAAATTAAACAAGAATACAGGATTAAATATTCCACCGCCCCAAACTGGGTGCTTTAAAACAAGACAAACGATTCTCCTCTGCACAATTAAGGTGCTGGCAGGACCATGAAGGCCTTAGAGAAAATCCTTCCTAGTGTTTAATGGCTTACAGCAACCCTCGGCATTCCTTGGCCTGCAGCTACGGCATTCTCATCTCTACCTCTGTGTTTACAGGGCTTGTTTCCTCACTGTGTGTTGCTGCCCATGTCTCTATTGATACTGTATTGATATTGATGGCTGCTAAGTGAAAAGCTGGCAGTTTAACCCTTCAGCTGCTCCCTGTGCTTCCACAGAGACTGGAGCCTTGGGAACTTGTGGGGCTGTTCTACTCTGTCCTGTAAGGTCTCTGAGTCAGAATCAATGTAATGGCAAAGGGGTGGACCTGTCCTTACAAGGAGATCAGTTCCTGGATTTAGGGCTGACAAAACTGTTTTAATTCTCCTGGAATTCAAATTCCCAAGTTCATGGTCTTGAGGTAACCCACCTAGGCCCTTCTGTGTCATTCTGAATTCTGTAAGAGTTAATTACCTAAAGTTACCTTCAGGTCAAACAATCCTTCAGAAAACTTTTCATAGGACAGCATTTTTACTTTAGGCATTAGGTTCTTTTGCAAAATCAAATAAGTTCAGACAACTTCCTAGTCGAAAGAACTCTATGGTCTGACTGAGGCTTTTAAAAATATGTGGCACATTGAATGAGTGAATATTTTTTAAAAAAAAATTAAAATGTTAAAAAAATATACATGGCATGGCCTTGATGACTGTCCTTGGTGATTGTTTGTATAACCTGTTATTATGGTTAATATGATGTGTCAACTGGATCACAGTATTATGTGGCTGTCTATCATTTTGCAATCTGATGCAATGAGGCTGTTTTGTGGTGTTCTGTAATTATCTTCCATTCTAGCCCTCTATGTTAACGAAAGAAGGAGGGTTAGTGGGGGATGTATCTTGAGGGACAGCCTTACAAGACCAAGGTGATGTGACTCATGTCATACTCTTTAGTCACGTCCTTACTCAGTTCAGACCCTTAATCTGTTGTACAGGGAATGTCTCTGGTGTAACCTGAATTCCATCTCAATCTCTCTCTCTCCGTGTGTGTGTGTTTGTCTATATCAATGCTCTGGCAAGGCTTTCCCCTCTCTGGATCTTGCATCTAGATCATCATTCTCTGACTTCTGGTTTTGGGGACCTGTGCTAGCAGCTTGTTGTCTGATCAGCTCCTTTGGGGATTCCTCGACTTCCACCACTCGATGAACCAAAAGCCGGTAGGGTAGTCTGATCTGTCAGCTGTGGAGTTGGCAGCCCTAGCACCCACCTGAGTCGGGAGAAGCTTCCAGTCTGGCTCTTGACCCAAGGGTTTGGGACTTTCAAGCCTACACAACTCTGAGCCATTTCCTTGAGATAAATTTGTTTCCTTACTTAGACACGTTTCACTAATTTTGCCTCTCTAGAGAACCCAGCTTAAAACACTTGCTTTGATGTTTCCTTCTGAGAAACTCATCTAACAATTATCTATAAATCTGCTTTCAGGGAGCTCTGGTGGCCTAGTGGCAAGAAGTTGCACCGAAATTCCAGAAGTGTGTGGCTCAAATCCACCAGATGCTCTGCTGGAGAAAGAGGGACAATCTCCTCCTGTACCAGTCAGATCCGATTTGATGGTACATGCGCGCGCGCGCGCGCACACACACACACCCCAACCCAAAAAACAAACAAACAAACAAAACCCAAACACCAAACCCAACAAAAAACCACCAAACCAAAACCAACAAACTCAAACAAACAAACCTGCTTTCAGTGTCTCTTTTTAGGAATGCCTTTCCAACATGTTTGGGTAATGGTGCCTGATTAGAACTCCATCTACTCACCATAAATCATTTT